CATGCACATCAACGACACATTAATATACACAATATCACATGCACATCAACGACACATTAATATACACAATATCACATGCACAATATCACATGCACATCAACGACACAATAATATACACAATATCACATGCACATCAACACATTAATATACACAATATCACATGCACAATATCACATGCACATCAACAACACATTAATATACACAAAATCACATGCACAATATCACATGCACATCAACAACACATTAATATACACAATATCACATGCACAATATCACATGCACATCAACGACACATTAATATACACAATATCACATGCACAATATCACAAGCACATCACCAACACATTAATATACACAATATCACATGCACAATATCACATGCACATCAACGACACATTAATATACACAAAATCACATGCGCATCAACGACACATTAATATACACAATATCACATGCACAATATCACATGCACATCAACGACACATTAATATACACAATATCACATGCACAATATCACATGCACATCAACGACACATTAATATACACAATATCACATGCACAATATCACATGCACATTAACGACACATTAACATACACAATATCACATGCACAATATCACATGCACATCAACAACACATTAATATACACAATATCACATGCACAATATCACATGCACATCAACAACACATTAATATACACAATATCACATGCACAATATCACATGCACATCAACGACACATTAATATACACAATATCACATGCACAATATCACATGCACATTAACGACACATTAACATACACAATATCACATGCACAATATCACATGCACATCAACAACACATTAATATACACAATATCACATGCACAATATCACGTGCACATCAACAACACATTAATATACACATTATCACATGCACAATATCACATGCACATCAACGACACATTGTGCATGTGATATTGTGTATATTAATGTGTCGTTGATGTGCATGTGATATTGTGCATGTGATATTGTGTATATTAATGTGTTGTTGATGTGCATGTGATATTGTGCATGTGATATTGTGTATGTTAATGTGTCGTTGATGTGCATGTGATATTGTGCATGTGATATTGTGTATATTAATGTGTCGTTGATGTGCATGTGATATTGTGCATGTGATAATGTGTATATTAATGTGTTGTTGATGTGCACGTGATATTGTGTATATTAATGTGTTGTTGATGTGCACGTGATATTGTGCATGTGATATTGTGTATATTAATGTGTTGTTGATGTGCATGTGATATTGTGCATGTGATATTGTGTATATTAATGTGTTGTTGATGTGCATGTGATATTGTGCATGTGATATTGTGTATGTTAATGTGTCGTTGATGTGCATGTGATATTGTACATGTGATATTGTGTATATTAATGTGTTGTTGATGTGCATGTGATATTGTGCATGTGATATTGTGTATATTAATGTGTTGTTGATGTGCACGTGATATTGTGCATGTGATATTGTGTATATTAATGTGTTGTTGATGTGCATGTGATATTGTGTATATTAATGTGTTGTTGATGTGCATGTGATATTGTGTATATTAATGTGTTGTTGATGTGCATGTGATATTGTGTATATTAATGTGTTTTTGATGTGCATGTGATATTGTGCATGTGATATTGTGTATATTAATGTGTCGTTGATGTGCATGTGATATTGTGCATGTGATAATGTGTATATTAATGTGTTGTTGATGTGCACGTGATATTGTGCATGTGATATTGTGTATATTATTGTGTTGTTGATGTGCATGTGATATTGTGCATGTGATAATGTGTATATTAATGTGTTGTTGATGTGCACGTGATATTGTGTATATTAATGTGTTGTTGATGTGCATGTGATATTGTGCATGTGATATTGTGTATATTAATGTGTTGTTGATGTGCATGTGATATTGTGCATGTGATATTGTGTATATTAATATCACATGCACATCAACAACACATTAATATACACAATATCACATGCACAATATCACATGCACATCAACAACACATTAATATACACATTATCACATGCACAATATCACGTGCACATCAACAACACATTAATATACACATTATCACATGCACAATATCACATGCACATCAACAACACAATAATATACACAATATCACATGCACAATATCACGTGCACATCAACAACACATTAATATACACATTATCACATGCACAATATCACGTGCACATCAACAACACATTAATATACACATTATCACATGCACAATATCACATGCACATCAACAACACATTAATATACACAATATCACATGCACAATATCACGTGCACATCAACAACACATTAATATACACAATATCACATGCACAATATCACATGCACATCAACAACACATTAATATACACAATATCACATGCACAATATCACATGCACATCAACAACACATTAATATACACAATATCACATGCACAATATCACGTGCACATCAACAACACATTAATATACACATTATCACATGCACAATATCACATGCACATCAACGACACATTAATATACACAATATCACATGCACAATATCACATGCACATCAACAACACATTAATATACACAATATCACATGCACAATATCACGTGCACATCAACAACACATTAATATACACAATATCACATGCACAATATCACATGCACATCAACAACACATTAATATACACAATATCACATGCACAATATCACATGCACATCAACAACACATTAATATACACATTATCACATGCACAATATCACGTGCACATCAACAACACATTAATATACACATTATCACATGCACAATATCACATGCACATCAACGACACATTAATATACACATTATCACATGCACAATATCACATGCACATCAACGACACATTAATATACACAATATCACATGCACATCAACAACACATTAATATACACAATATCACATGCACAATATCACATGCACATCAACAACACATTAATATACACTATCACATGCACATCAACGACACATTAATATACACAATATCACATGCACAATATCACATGCACAATATCACATGCACATCAACAACACATTAATATACACAATATCACATGCACATATCACATGCACATCAACAACACATTAATATACACAATATCACATGCACAATATCACATGCACATCAACAACACATTAATATACACAATATCACATGCACAATATCACATGCACATCAACGACACATTAATATACACAATATCACATGCACATATCACATGCACATCAACAACACATTAATATACACAATATCACATGCACAATATCACATGCACATCAACAACACATTAATATACACAATATCACATGCACATCAACAACACATTAATATACACAATATCACATGCACATCAACAACACATTAATATACACAATATCACATGCATTGCACATCAACGACACATTAATATACACAATATCACATGCACAATATCACATGCATTGCACATCAACGACACATTAATATACACAATATCACATGCCAATATCACATGCACAATATCACATGCATTGCACATCAACGACACATTAATATACACAATATCACATGCCAATATCACATGCACAATATCATATTTACATCCACACATGCACATCATAACATGCACAATATCACATGAACATCAACAACACATGCACAATATCACACTTATTTCTTGAATGGGCCGTAAATTATGAAATATCTTAATAAAATATACCTTGCATCATATCTTTTGATGGCTAAAGGCCTGTGTATCAGTGTGGGTGGGTATAAACAAATGTATGTGACACTGGAAGTATAACTTGTGTGTTTGTGTGTGTAAACTGATGAATGTTGTTCATATGCCCTCCTGAACTGCAGGCGCCGCTGAACACCTCACTGCACGCTCAAATAATGACACACACACACACACACACACGTTTATCTAAAGAACCATGTCAAAGACATGTTAAAGTGAATTATAATAACTTCTGACTGACTCAAAAACCATATGAATTAGTATGTATCTTAAGAACGTCAGCAAAAGGAGTTTCTTTTTTACATTAAACACTCTTCTGGAGGCAGTTTCATGCACAAAATCAACTGTGTGTGTGTGTGTGTGTGTGTGTGTGTGTGTGTGTGTGTGTGTGTGTGTGTGTGTGTGTGTGTGTGTGTGTGTCATTATTTGATCTATAAATAAACTCCCTTTGATTTGTGCAGTGTTTGTGTTTATGTGTGACTTAATTAGTTAGTGCTGATAGTTGTCTGTCACACACACACACACACACACACACATACAGTGAAGGTGTCATGTACACCTGTTGATTTTTCTTCTCATAATTAATGTGTACACATCCAGGCTAATTATTCTGCAGCGTTTGATTAATGACTTTAGAGTCTCAGTGTCTCAGACAGAGAGGACAGCTGGGAAATGATTGATGAACACACACGGCGCACGACACGGAAGCTGTCATACGTGTGCAAGAAACACACACACACACACAGAGCCGAGATCAAATGCTGCACTTCTCTGGCTTAATCAAATTGTTGTATATATGTAAATGACCTGTGTGTGTGTGTGTGTGTTCATCAGGACAGGAAGTTGCTGAATCAGTGTTGATATGTAAATGTGGGCGGGCATATGTTAATGAGTTCATCGTTTTGATGTCAGTGGAAGAAGTCCACCACAGTGACCCTCAGTTGTGTGTGTGTGTGTGTGTGTGTGTGTGTTCACACATGTTCTAATTTGTTACACGGTTTATTTAAATTTAAGTTATGTTATAATATTTTCTTCTATTATTTTGATGTTTTATTATTATTCTATGTATTCCAAGCGTTGGCAATATTGTATTATTTACAGCCATGCCAATAAAGCAATTTTTAATTGATATGAATTGAAAGAGATGAAAACTCTATTGTGTGTATATTATATATTTAACATGACTGTCTTTGTTTTTGTGTGTTTGTCTCCAGCTTCTAGAGTTTGACCGAGAGCTGTGTGTGTTTAAGGAGCGTCTTCATGAGCTGGACATCTCGTTTCCTCCAAGGTACGAGCACTAGAGCCAAAAAATCCAGCCCTGACCCGGCCCGTGGTGTTCAAGCCCTAACCCGACCCGGCCCGTGGTGTTCAACCCCTAACCCGACCCCGGCCCGTGGTGTTCAAGCCCTAACCCGACCCGGCCCGTGGTGTTCAAGCCCTAACCCGACCCCGGCCCGTGGTGTTCAAGCCCTAACCCGACCCGGCCCGTGGTGTTCAAGCCCTAACCCGACCCGTGGTGTTTAAGCCCTAACCCGACCCGGCCCGTGGTGTTCAAGCCCTAACCCGACCCGGCCCGTGGTGTTCAACCCCTAACCCGACCCCGGCCTGTGGTGTTCAAGCCCTAACCCGACCCGGCCCGTGGTGTTCAAGCCCTAACCCGACCCGTGGTGTTCAAGCCCTAACCCGACCCGGCCCGTGGTGTTCAAGCCCTAACCCGACCCGGCCCGTGGTGTTCAACCCCTAACCCGACCCGTGGTGTTCAACCCCTAACCCGACCCGGCCCGTGGTGTTCAAGCCCTAACCCGACCCGGCCCGTGGTGTTCAACCCCTAACCTGACCCCCTAACCCGACCCGGCCCGTGGTGTTCAACCCCTAACCCGACCCCGGCCCGTGGTGTTCAACCCCTAACCCGACCCCGGCCCGTGGTGTTCAAGCCCTAACCCGACCCCCTAACCCGACCCGGCCCGTGGTGTTCAAGCCCTAACCCGACCCGTGGTGTTCAAGCCCTAACCCGACCCGTGGTGTTCAACCCCTAACCCGACCCGGCCCGTGGTGTTCAAGCCCTAACCCGACCCGGCCCGTGGTGTTCAAGCCCTAACCCGACCCGTGGTGTTCAAGCCCTAACCCGACCCGTGGTGTTTAAGCCCTAACCCGACCCGTGGTGTTCAAGCCCTAACCCGACCCGTGGTGTTCAACCCCTAACCCGACCCGGCCCGTGGTGTTCAAGCCCTAACCCGACCCCGGCCCGTGGTGTTCAACCCCTAACCCGACCCCTGCCCGTGGTGTTCAAGCCCTAACCCGGCCCGTGGTGTTCAACCCCTAACCCGACCCGGCCCGTGATGTTCAACCCCTAACCCGACCCCGGCCCGTGGTGTTCAAGCCCTAACCCGACCCCGGCCCGTGGTGTTTAAGCCCTAACCCGACCCGTGGTGTTCAACCCCTAACCCGACCCGGCCCGTGGTGTTCAAGCCCTAACCCGACCCCGGCCCGTGGTGTTCAAGCCCTAACCCGACCCGGCCCGTGGTGTTCAACCCCTAACCCGACCCGGCCCGTGGTGTTCAACCCCTAACCCGACCCCGGCCCGTGGTGTTCAAGCCCTAACCCGACCCGGCCCGTGGTGTTCAAGCCCTAACCCGACCCCGGCCCGTGGTGTTCAACCCCTAACCCGACCCCGGCCCGTGGTGTTCAACCCCTAACCCGACCCGGCCCGTGGTGTTCAACCACTAACCCGACCCCGGCCCGTGGTGTTCAAGCCCTAACCCGACCCCGGCCCGTGGTGTTCAAGCCCTAACCCGACCCCGGCCCGTGGTGTTCAACCCCTAACCCGACCCGGCCCGTGGTGTTCAACCCCTAACCCGACCCCGGACCGTGGTGTTCAAGCCCTAACCCGACCCCGGCCCGTGGTGTTCAAGCCCTAACCCGACCCGGCCCGTGGTGTTCAAGCCCTAACCCGACCCCGGCCCGTGGTGTTCAAGCCCTAACCCGACCCCGGCCCGTGGTGTTCAACCCCTAACCCGACCCGGCCCGTGGTGTTCAAGCCCTAACCCGACCCCGGCCCGTGGTGTTCAAGCCCTAACCCGACCCCGGCCCGTGGTGTTCAAGCCCTAACCCGACCCCGGCCCGTGGTGTTCAAGCCCTAACCCGACCCCGGCCCGTGGTGTTCAAGCCCTAACCCGACCCGGCCCGTGGTGTTCAAGCCCTAACCCGACCCCGGCCCGTGGTGTTCAAGCCCTAACCCGACCCCGGCCCGTGGTGTTCAACCCCTAACCCGACCCCGGACCGTGGTGTTCAAGCCCTAACCCGACCCCGGCCCGTGGTGTTCAAGCCCTAACCCGACCCGGCCCGTGGTGTTCAAGCCCTAACCCGACCCCGGCCCGTGGTGTTCAAGCCCTAACCCGACCCCGGCCCGTGGTGTTCAACCCCTAACCCGACCCGGCCCGTGGTGTTCAAGCCCTAACCCGACCCGGCCCGTGGTGTTCAAGCCCTAACCCGACCCCGGCCCGTGGTGTTCAAGCCCTAACCCGACCCCGGCCCGTGGTGTTCAAGCCCTAACCCGACCCCGGCCCGTGGTGTTCAAGCCCTAACCCGACCCCGGCCCGTGGTGTTCAAGCCCTAACCCGACCCGGCCCGTGGTGTTCAAGCCCTAACCCGACCCCGGCCCGTGGTGTTCAAGCCCTAACCCGACCCCGGCCCGTGGTGTTCAACCCCTAACCCGACCCGGCCCGTGGTGTTCAAGCCCTAACCCGACCCCGGCCCGTGGTGTTCAAGCCCTAACCCGACCCCGGCCCGTGGTGTTCAAGCCCTAACCCGACCCCGGCCCGTGGTGTTCAAGCCCTAACCCGACCCCGGCCCGTGGTGTTCAACCCCTAACCCGACCCCGGCCCGTGGTGTTCAAGCCCTAACCCGACCCGGCCCGTGGTGTTCAAGCCCTAACCCGACCCGGCCCGTGGTGTTCAACCCCTAACCCGACCCGGCCCGTGGTGTTCAAGCCCTAACCCGACCCCGGCCCGTGGTGTTCAAGCCCTAACCCGACCCCGGCCCGTGGTGTTCAAGCCCTAACCCGACCCGTGGTGTTCAAGCTCACACTCAGCTGATAATGAAGCGCTGTAATCAAACAATAATTACTTGATGAAGTGCGGCTGCGAGAAGAGTGTTTGTGTGTGTTTGTGTGTGTGTGTTTACTGAAGGGACAGGTGGATTTATGGAGTGTCTGTGTGTGTGTGTGTGTGTCTGACCACTGGAAGTCCACGTGCTCTTCTCAATCTGAAGCCGCTAATGAGTGTGTTAAACGTGATTGGATGCGTGCTGTATCTGTTATAATCTGAGGTGAATGAATAGAGACGACAGAACTCACACACACACACACACACACACGCGCGCGCTGTCAGATACGCCTCTCAGTGATCAAGAAGCAGCGATTGTTCTTTGTCATACAGAAACACGCCTCGCCATCTGTGTGCTTATATAAGAGGCCGTCGAGGTCACACACACTCATACACACACTCACACACGCGTACGCACACACACACGCACACACACACACACACTCACTCTCACATACACTCACTCTCATACACACACTCACACACACACACACACACTGCATCTTCATCACTGATCTGTTCTTGTGCTGATTTCACTGTAGAATATCACAACCTTTACGTTCAGTCACGTGTGTGTGTGTGTGTGTCAGTGGCGGATCTAGAAAATTTTACATGGGGGGGCAAAGGGGTGGCAAGAGGTCTTGGCAGGGTGGCAGGGGTAGACGGTACATGGGAATCCCTATATGTGAATTGCTTTAACAAAACAAACACAAAAACACATTCAAACTACAGTAGTTATTGTTTAATCATGCCCTTACACACTACAAATGTTTTTAGGAATGATTTATTAACAAATCCCTCTGAAAATATCTTCAGAATACTGCTAAGTGTATAGCTGGAAAGTTTGGTGTACATAGGTGCTACACAGGCTGAGATGTTTGTACTGGAGAATGACAAAAAACTCATTTTGAGAAAACAGCATTTAAAGATTTGTAATGTAAAAATTCATACTTTTTTTAGTGGAAACAACTATTTACAGACACCATATCTTATCAAATCATTAGCAACAACAATACAAACCACCTAAATCACAGCATTTATGGCCTTCAACTGAACAGAAAAACTGTCAAAAACGCATTTCTAAATGTCAGAGCACGTCACGTGATGCATCTCTGAACGAATCACGTTGTCAGAAATTGACATCAGCCAATGAGATTTCGGTTTTAGAGTTAATAGGCCGCTGTTGGTAGCCTAAAAGAGGCCTAGAAATAGGGTTTCGTTCCACCACGTGGGGCACTACCTACTTTTTTTATATTTAACATCAGAAATATATAGAGATTCCTTAGGAAAAAGTTCTCCGCACACAACCTTGCAGTTTTTGAGAAAAATGATGCTAAAGGTGCCCATTTTGAAATAAAGGGAAAACATAGGGAATTTTGCACTTTCAAACCGGTTTATCATATAAACCCAAAAATGCCGAATTACCACTTGAGGTACAAAATAAACCAGTTTAAAATATGTGATATACCTGAAGTTGCAATCTAGGCACAGTAAACATGATAAGATTATCAAGAAAACTTCTACTGTAGCATTAACATCCCAATTACTTCTCATTATGTTGTTCCAATTCAAAGGTAATATTTGAGGTAAAATCTGAATTACAAATAGAATTCAGCCAAAATATAATATATATATATATATATATATTAAAAAAACACTTTTCAAAATAACGCATTTAATGGTGAATTGCCAATTCGCATACACGAGCAGTAACTGCACTGCATGTACACATTTTTTACATGCTATACTTAAAACAATTATGGTAACAATATTACACGTATTATATTTGAGTAGATTTTGAGGTTTTTTTTTGTGTGTAATCTACCCAAATAAATTAAGTAAAATTTCCTAAATTATTTAGTCTATGGCACATGATGCATTTAATATTATTAGTGTGGAATGTGCTTTTTTAATATAAGTTGTCTCAATAATAAATTAAGCAGAATTTACTCGTTTGTATTAATGAAATTGACTTAATTATAACATTTACTGCATTTTTCAGGTTAAGATAATAATGACTTCATAATGCACTTTTTGTTATCAAACATGCTTTTATTCTGTATTTTTTTGCACAAATAAAACAAATCTATATAAAATGTAAGACAGCAGTTTTAAGATATGAAAAATAAAAGCAAAAAAATGCTAACATTTTCCATGTCATTGAGAAAAATAATTTTGTTACACA